ATAACAAGCATCTCGGTTCAGCCTCTTTGGTAACATTTATCCAGTATAAGATTAATTATTACAAGGTGAGTTTATGGATGGAAATCTCATTTTAGATTGTTGCATACGTGTGTATGCGTATGTATGTTTTAATAAATGTAAAACTCACTGGGATAACCACAGCATTTTGTGTAAAAGTCAATCCTCATGATTTTTTGTGTCCATTTTTATGTAGTTTTATTTACTTGTGTGTTATTTTTAAAGGATCTTAGAGAGCCCACATGGAAGCAGTGGAGAGAATTCCTTGTCAAGTACTCCTTCCTTCCATACCAGCTGATTGCTGAATTTGCTTGGGACTGGCTGGAGGTCCATTACTGGACGTCACGGTTTCTCATCGTCAATGCCATGTTACTCTCAGTTCTGGAATTATTCTCCTTTTGGAGGACCTGGTCAAGAAGTGAACTGAAGTAAGTGTGTTTTTATGTAGGAGACGGTTGGAGCAACAGAGACTGGGAAAGAAATACCAAGTGGAGAAGTCCTCTGTGGAGTGTTGTTCAGACTCGAGAAGACACCCCAGGCTCTGGTTTAGAAATAGTGCTTAAGCAGCAAACAGGAAAATGCCTTTGTGTTGGGGCTGGGGTGGCTCTGGTGGCGCTCACTGTCAAAGTGTGTCCCATGCGCCTTCTTCCCATGCGATGTGCCGGCTAATTCCTGCGGCGCGGGGCGTGAAGGGCTTCAGTAATTGAGGAATAAACAAGTGAGAAGAAGAGGGTACTTTACGGAAAGCAGCAGTGTGGCAGAGCATAAAGGGATTTGATGAGGAATTCTGTAGGCGTGAGTTCTAATCCTGCACTGCCACCAGCTGGAACAGTGATCATTTCTCTAGATTAATGCATAAAATGAGAGAGTTGGACTAGACAGTCACTGAGTCAAGTGACTCTTGGTTGTAAGTGAGAGAAACCAACCTATATTGGCTTTCCTACCAAGGGACATGCCCAGTGAAGGCTTCCTGCATGGCTGGACCCAGAGACCCGAATGCTGTCATGAGGGCCACCCTCTCCCTCTCCCTCCCTCC